CTGCGAAAGATTGTGAGGAGGCTGGGAAAAGGATGGAAGGGTGTTCTGCCCCAGCTCCGGATTTCTGAGAATATTGACACACACCAACGGTCCTTATCAAATATATTAAGTAGCAAGAATAAACAAGACCGGCAAAGGTTGGCAACCAGCCCAGAAAACAAGATATGATAAACCAAAATACTCTGATAATAATACGAGTTGTTTTCAGCAAGAACGCACTAGCTGCATGCGACTTAAATAGGTTAAGGGAGTGGCTAATTATCCTCAAGCCTTACTCTTGAGGAGACCTCCTCCTCCTCCTAAGTAGCCACTCCTGCCTTCTGGCAGCCCTGCGTGCTCGAGCATTGAGGAGAGGCTCCTCCACTTCACTCTCTCCACTTGAAGGAACCTCTGAGGTTCTGAAGGCCCTGGCTGAGTCTCTGCCTCTGGCACCACATCCTCTTCAGCCTCCTCGCTGTCCAACGTGAGCACCGGCTGCGCAGGCTGCTAGCACAACCCCACACCAGCCTCCTCATCGTCGGGATCAGCCACGATCCGCGCAGGCCGCTGGAGGGCCACAACAAAGGGAGAGTAGACATAAACATTCGAGAGAGAGAATGAAAATCCTCAGGCAGCTTATCTCATAAATGGCAAGCTAGCCTAGATAGTAAGATATTTTGGAAGGAACATTTAAATTACTGTACTCAAACAGTCTCTACAGTACTTCAATTAACTCACTATAAAAGAAGATGGGAAATTCTTCTTATAGTTTCCAATATTATGTATTTACCTAATATACCGAAATCTCATTATGTTTTGATGTGCTGCATGGGACTTGACAGAAGCAAAAAAAAAGGGAAAGAACTAGAAGCATGCTCTTGTCAGAATGGGACAACTTGGTGAGGCCAACTCGCCACAGCCAACTCACTGTAGGACAACTCACTGTGGGGCAGCTCAATAATTCAATTTAAATATTTAAAATTATTTTAATTTTTGTCATTCACATTTCATTTTGTCCCTCCTTTTGCGTCCTTTCTTTAATGATTCTGTCCCACCGTTTCATCAATAGTAGTGTAACTCTGGTCCTGAAGTGAGTAGTATGGTGCGTTGGCCACGGCATGTTGTCCCGCAGCAAGTCGGTGACAATGAGTTGTCCTGCAACAAGTCGGCCCGCACTGAGTTGTCTTAGACCTTGCTCTTGTTGACAGCAGGGTAAATAAGGTGAGTTTATTCAGCAAGGTTCTCTGTCAACTCCAGTATTATCCTTCAAATAGGTACCATTGTCCTTGAGGGAGCAGTTACATGAACTGGGGCTCCTCCTGAACTGAAAGCCTTGGTAGTACAGTGGTCTAAAGCATCCTGTTATTAATACAGCTGCCTGCAATTACTGCAGGTTCGAATCTTACCAGGCTCAAGGTTGACTCAGCCTTCCATCCTTTCTAAGGTAGGTTAAATGAGGACCCAGTTTGTGGGGGCAATAAGCTGACTTTGTATAAATATACAAAAGTATGAAGGCTATTGCTTAACGCATTGTAAGCCGCCTTGAGTCTCCAGAGAAGGGCGGCATATAAATCAAATTTAAAAAAAAAAAAGCAATTTCCAGATGGATGGGTGAAAATCTAGCTAGGAAGGCTGTCATCTAGCTTTGGCTGATACATCAGTTGTGGCCCGACTTGGAGTGAGAGGACTTTGTAACTCATATTGCGTAACTACCACTCACAAATCGCACTTCATCCAAAACAGAACAGCTCATATATTAATGGGTTCTGGACACACATCCCTCTGTGTTAGGGGTCTTTCACTGGTTGTCAATATGTTTCTAGATGCAATTTAAAGGAGTGAATTTAATTTATAAAACCTTACATGGTTTGATGCTACAGCATCTTCAAGACTACTTTTTTCAAATAGAACCCACCAACCTAAAGACAACTCAGAAAAAATTAGTAATGTCTATCAGTAACAGTGTGGTCAATGCCTGGAATGCACTACCTGACTCTGTAGTTTCTTCCCCAAACCCCCAAAACTTTAACCTTAAACTGTCTACTGTTGACCTCACCCCATTCCTAAGAGGTCTGTAAGGGGTGTGCATAAGTGCACCAGTGTGCCTACCATCCCTGTCCTAATATTCCTTTTTACTTACTCTTTTCATGTATTCAAATTATGTTTAGACTTTTACCTGTTACCTTATCTTAAATGGGTGGTGAGCCGAGGCTAGGAGAAGCTATTTCTCAGTACAATAATGCATTTTTATTTATTTGTTCAATTTTTATGGCTGTTCATCTCAATCACTGACTCTGGGCAGCTAATGGTCTTACATTATGGAACAGCTTCACCCAAGAAACTAGATAAGCCTTGACGTTATTTGCCTTTCTGGAAACAAGATAAAACAAAAATCTTCTGAAAGTCTTTTTAAATTTGATGTAATGAGGGAACGCAACATGTGTGTTTATATTGCTCTAAGTTGCTGTTTTTAATTTTGGTATTGTACTATTATTTGGTATTTTTATGATTAGACATTTTGTAATTATTTTCATACCCTGCCAAGAGTGGCATGATTGCAGCCATTTAGAAACTAATAAACAAATGAACAAACAATGGAAAAACCAAGAACCAAGAAGAGGGTTGACAGAAAAAAAAAAAACAGCAACAAGAGAGAGAAGAGAATTGAGAAATAGCAAATCAATGGGTTTTATTGCAAGTCTCACCCTTAAAATTCATAGCAGAGCAACCTTTACTGAAAAACAGTGGGTTTTCCTCTTGTGTATTTTAATAATTATGCAATTATAACTGTAATAATAGATGAATCAAAAGTGGTTTTTATTTTGAAAAGGCAACTGGGCTGATTTTTTGAGGAAAAAGACAAGATATTTCGTTTCCTATTCTGGAAGCTTCATCAGTTGAATTGAATGCTGTGGGAGATAGAAGCAACAGTAATAGCACTTAGACTTACGGTATATACCACTTCACAGTGCTTTACAGCCCTCTCTAAGCAGTTTACAGAGTCAGCATATTGCCCCCAACAATCTGGGACCTCATTTTACCGACCTTGGAAAGCTGAGGCAACCTTTAAGCATAATTATTGACAGTTAAGATTAGTTGCAAAGAAAACACAATCTTTCCATTTCCATTTCCCCACAATCACCATCCTGTTAGAACCTATCATTCTCCCTCCCACCAACTAATCTAACTAATAATTGTCAATAACTGTCCTTCCATCTCCCACAGCATCCGATACAACTGATGAAGCTTCCAGAATAGAAAGCGAAACGTCTTGTTTTTTTCTCAAAAAATCAGGCCAGTTGCCTTTTCAAAATAAAATCCACTTTTGATACAACTATAATTGCACTTAACAATGAACTAAAGGGCCACTATCAGTGAGCTGTTGGACAGCATTACTTAGTCTGTTGTGTGGATGTTTGGGTGATTTAGGGGTGGGGAATTATGGTGGGGGGGGGTGTTTGGGGATTGTTATGTGTGTTGGACCTGGTCTTTGGGTGTTAAGTGAATTTCGTTGTATGGGTATACTGTGTATACACGTACAATGACAATAAAGTTATTATTATTATGATGATGATCTGGATCCGTGCTGGCGAACCTATGGCACGCGTGCCACAGGTGGCACACGGAGCCATATTAGTGGGCACGCCAGCTCAGCTCTGGGGCGCATGCGTGCGCCGGACAGCTGATTTTTGGGCCTTCTGGGCCCACCAGAAGTAGGGAAACAGGCTGTTTCCTGCCTCTGGAGGCCTGGTGGGAGGTGGGGAAGGCCCGTTTTTCTTTCTTACCTGGCTCCAGATCCTTTCTATGGATATGGGAAGGGCGAAAACAGCCTTTCCCACTCCCTTGGAGGCCCTACGGAGGCTGAAAGGGCCCATTTCCCGACTCCCGGTGGAACAGGAAGTGACTTTTTTCCTGTCCCCAGCCTCCAGAGACTCCTAGAGAGGCTCCTACAGACTCCTAGAGAGGTTCTGGAGGCTGGGGACAGCAAAAAACATCACTTTCTGTCCCACCAAGAGTTGGGAAATGGGCCCTTTCAGCCTCCGTAGGGCCTCCAAGGGAGTGGGAAAGGCTGTTTTCGACCTTCCCAGATGCATAGAAAGGATCTGGAATCAGGTAAGAAAGAAAAATGGGCCTACCAGGCCATCATGTGCCAGGAGCGGGGGTGGGTGGGGTTGCGTGCGCATGCGCGTGGGCACGTGTATGCGCGACCCTCCCCCCGCTCCCCCGTCTCCTGGCACGCGATGGCAAAAAGGTTAGCCATCACTGATCTGGATAATTGAGAATCTTCATAGACATTTGCAATAAAGGATATACATATTAAGAAAATAGGCATGTAGATCTATAGAATACAGAAATATAAAAATATTCAGTAGTTACTATAGGTCACTGTTTGGTCAGGGTGTTTAGTGGCATACATCTACTATCTGTTTGACCACATGTGAGTTGCTAGGAGCCATCTTGTAACATATTTGGTCATATAACAGAGACTAACATGGTGGAAATGTGTATAGAACATGAGATGCATAGTGCTTCTGTCCATTGCCATGGGAGTTACAATAAAGATAGTTCAATTTCAGTGCCATGTACTGAGATTTCCTAATTAGTTGTAGACTAATGCAACATGGGAGAAAAAAAATCTAAATAGCACATGATACATCACTTAAAATTAGTATGGCTTACAAGCCATAAAAGCATACATCTATGAAATCCTCAGAAATTTAACTCTTGCTTAAGGGTAAACACAGATGAAACTCTCATAGGATCACAGTCCAGTATTTCTAATCTAAACCAGTAAATCCTCCCATTTCTAACTACTAGCATATTCCAGTCTCCCATGGTCCATAGAAGGTGGGCCTACATCCATAGTCTCCATGCTGAGATTCATGCTGAATAGGGTTGTAAGAATCCAAGTCAACACAACTAGAGGACACCAAATGGGAGAAGGCTGGATGTATATACTCACAGCTTCATAGACACAGCCTCTTGATGGGCAGTGTCTGTCAAGTATGCAGGAGTCTTACCTTCCTCACAGTTGCTTCCAGTGAAACCAGGGCAGCATCGCCATTCAAGAGCAGTTACTGTTCGGTAAGCTATCTTGTACGTGGGTCGGATGAGGGTCCTGTAACTAACACAAGCAACACGTCATCCACAATATTCAGTCCAAACCTGCCAACATCAGTAGCTGCTCATAGGAACAAGGTCAAATCCAGGGAGTCCTTGATTAACAATCACAACTGAGCCCAAAATTTCCATTGCTCATCAAGACAGTTGCTCAGTGAGTTTTGCCCCATTTTATGACCTTTTTTCACCACAGTCGTTAAGTGAATCACTGCGGTTGTTAAGTTAGTAACACTTTTGTGAACGGAATCTGCCTTTGCTTGCCAGAAGGTTGCAAAAAGTGATCACATGACCCCAGGACACTGCAACCGTCATAAATACATGCCAGTTGCCAAGCGTCCATATTCTGATCATATGATCATGCTGCAACTATTGTGTGAAAAACAAAATAAGGAATTTTTTTCCGTGCCATTGCAACTTTGAATGGCCACTAAATGAATGTTTGTAAGTCAAGGACTACCTGTACAGTTTTAAGCAGCCCAGTTCAATATACGTCTACAGATAGAATTCAATGGGATTATTCCGAGGTGACTAAAAAATTGCACTCTATATTATATATATATAGAAGAGACTGGACTGCCATCTGTCAGAAATGGTATAGAACAGTGATGGCTAACCTTTTTGCCATCGCGTGCCAGGAGAGGGGGGGGCAGGGGAGGGTCGTGCGCGCACGTGCCCACGCGCATGTGTGTGCAACCCCCTCTCCTCCCCCCGCTCCTGGCACATGATGGCCTGGTAGGCCCGTTTTTCTTTCTTACCTGGTTTCAGATCCTCTCTGTGTATCTGGGAACGGCGAAAACAGCCTTTCCCACTCCCTTGGAGGCCCTACGGGGTTATTATTATTATTATTATTATTTCCATACAATCCAATTTCTTACAAATCAATTAATTATATTTACCAATAATAATAAACCAAATAATTTCCCCCATATATTCCTCCAAACCACAACTTAACCATTTCTGCTTTCAACACAATATACAATTAATAGTATTTTAATAGTGTTTTAAAATCTTGAACTCTCCTCTTTTCCCCTAAATTTCCCATTGTTTGCACCTACCTTTTTTGGTGAGGAAAAAGAAAAAGAAATCTCTCTCTGCCTCATTTTGCCACGTTGCAACAACAGCAAAGCCAACAGCCTGCTTTACTTTCCATTTCGTTTTTCAGCATAGTTAGGGGGAAAAAAATCAGCACTCTTTGCAAGCAAGCAGCAGAGCCCTGAGCAAAACAGCTGAGAGCAAATTAGCTGAGAGTCGGGAGCCGATCTAATCAAGGGCTAATTAGCCTATGTTGAAGCTCCGCGGGCCAATAAAATTACAAAAAAACACCGAACCATTTGTTAAATTGCTGGCTCGCCCGCCTCTCGCCCACCACTATTTATTGGCAATAAATAGTGGTGTGGAGGGGCAGGGCAAGCCAGCAATTTAACAAACACAGAATCTCACCACTGGCTCTAGGGTGGCCCTTTGAAGCCCCGCGGCAAGAATTTAAACAGTTTTTTTTCCTCTAGCCATCAGCTGGGACTCAGGAGGCAGCAATAGATTGAGAGTGGGCAGGGTAAGCGAACGGCCGGCGATCCAACAGAGCAGAGAGTGAGGGTGAGTGAAGGTGTGGGGGGGCGAGAGAGGGCTTTGGCAACCCCTGTGAAATCGCCGTTCGACCCCCAAAGGGGTTGTGACCCCCAGGTTGAGAACTGCTGCTCTAGAAAGAGTGCAGAGAAGAGCAACAAAGATTATTAGGGGACTGGAAACTAACACATATGAAGAACGGTTGCAGGAACTGGGTATGTCTAGTTTAAGGAAAAGAAGGAGAGACATGATAGCAGTGTTCCAATACCCTCAGGGGTTGCCACAAAGAAGAGGGAGTCAAACTATTCTCCAAAGCACCTGAGGGTAAAACAAGAAGCAATGGGTGGAAACTAATCAAGGAGAGAAACAACCTAGAACTCAGGAGAAATTTCTTGACAGTTAGAACAATTAATCAGTGGAACAACTTGCCTGCAGAAGTTGTGAATGCCCCAACACTGGAAGATTTTAAGAAGAGATTGGACAACCATTTGTCTGAAGTGATGTAGGGTTTCCTGCCTGAGCAGGGGGTTGGACTAGAAGACCTCCAAGGTCCCTTCCAACTCTGTTATTCTGTTATTCTATTATTCTTTATTCATTCACCTTGTTTGTTTGTCTGCTTGGGAGACACCTCATTGGAATGTATTTCTGAAGATGCATGAAGGGAAGGGAAGGAAAAGGAAAAGGAAGGGAAAGGGAAAGGGAAAGGGAAAGGGAAAGGAAAAAGGAAGAGAAAGGAAAGGAAAGGAAAGGAAAGGAAAGGAAAGGAAAGGAAAGGAAAGGAAAGGAAGGGAAGGGAAGGGAAGGGAAGGGAAGGGAAGGAAAAGGAAAGGAAAGGAAAGGAAAGGAAAGGAAAGGAAAGGAAAGGGAAAGGGAAAGGGAAAGGGAAAGGAAAGGAAAGGAAAGGAAAGGAAAGGAAAGGAAAGGGAGGGGAGGGGAGGGGAGGGGAGGGAAGGAAAAGGAAAAGGAAAAGGAAGGAAAAGGGAAAAGAAAAGGGAAAGGGAAGGGGAAAGAGAAAGGAAAGGAAAGGAAAGGAAAGGAAGGAAGGGAGGGGAGGGAGGGAGGGGAGGGGGAAAGGAAAAGGAAAAGGAAGGAAAAGGGAAAAGAAAAGGAAAGGGAAGGGGAAAGAGAAAGGAAAGGAAAGGAAAGGAAAGGAAAGGAAAGGAAAGGAAAGGGAGGGGAGGGAGGGGAGGGAGGGAGGGAGGAAAAGGAAAAGGAAAAGGAAGGAAAAGGGAAAAGAAAAGGGAAAGGGAAGGGAAAGAGAAAGGGAACGGAAGGGAAAGGAAAGGAAAGGAAAGGAAAGGAAAGGAAGGGGAGGGAAGGGGAGGGAAAGGAAAAGGGAAGGAAAAGGAAAAGGAAGGGAAAGGGAAAAGGGAAAGGAAAGGAAAAAGGAAGGGAAGAAAAGGAAAGGAAAGGAAGGGAAGGGAAGGGAAGGGAAGGGAAGGAAAGGAAAGGAAAGGAAAGGAAAGGAAGGAAGGGAAGGGAAGGAAAGGAAAGGAAAGGAAAGGAAAGGAAAGGAAAGGAAGGAAAGGAAAAGGAAAGGAAAGGAAAGGAAGGGAAAGGGAAAGGAAAGGAAGGGGAAAGAAAGGAAAGGAAAGGAAAGGAAGGAAGGGAAAGGGAAAGAGGAAAGGAAAGGGAAAGGAAAGGAAAGGAAAAGGAAAGGAAAGGAAAGGAAAGGAAAGGAAAGGAAAGAAAGAAAGGGAGGGGAGGAGGGAGGGAAGGAAAAGGAAAAGGAAGGAAAAGGGAAAAGAAAAGGGAAAGGGAAGGGGAAAGAGAAAGGAAAGGAAAGGAAAGGAAAGGAAAGGAAAGGAAGGGGAGGGGAGGGGAGGGGAGGGAAGGAAAAGGAAAAGGAAGGAAAAGGGAAAAGAAAAGGGAAAGGGAAAGGGAAAGAGAAAGGAAAGGGAAGGGAAGGGAAGGGAAGGAAAAGGAAAAGGAAAAGGAAAAGGAAGGGAAAGGAAAGGAAGGGAAGGGAAGGAAAAGGAAGGAAAAGGAAAGGAAGGGAAGGGAAGGAAAAGGAAAAGGAAGGGAAAGGAAAGGAAGGGAAGGGAAGGGAAGGGAAGGGAAGGGAAGGGAAGGAAAAGGAAATAATAATAAATAATAATAATAATAATTTTATTTCTATACCGCCCTTCTCCCGAAGGACTCAGGGCGGTGTACAGCCAATTTAAAAACACAAGACACAACAATAATTAAAAATTAAAATAATTAAATAGATTTGGCCGATTTAAAACCCAAAAAATTAAAATACCCCAATTTAAAATTATTATATTGACAGCCCTGCCTGGCAGAACAACAGGGTCTTCAGTGCGCAGCAGAACACCCGGAGGTCGGAGATCTTACGTATTTCCGGGGGCAGTTCATTCCACAGGGTTGGGGCTCCCACAGAGAAGGCCCTCCCCCTGGGTGTCGCCAGCCGACAAGGAAAGGAAAAGGAAAGGAAAGGAAGGGAAGGGAAAGGAAAGGAAAGGAGAGGAGAGGGGAGGGGAGGGGAGGGGAGGGGTGGGGAGGAAAAGGAATAGGAAGGAAAAGGGAAAGAGAAAGGAAGGGAAAAGGAAAAGGAAAGGAAGGGAAGGGAAAGGAAAGGAAAAGGAAAGGAAAGGAAGGGAAGGGAAAGGAAAGGAAAGGAGAGGAGAGGAGAGGAGAGGGGAGGGGAGGGGAGGGGTGGGGAGGAAAAGGAATAGGAAGGAAAAGGGAAAGAGAAAGGAAGGGAAAAGGAAAAGGAAAGGAAGGGAAGGGAAGGGAAAGGAAAGGAAAGGAAAGGAAGAGAAGGGAAGAGAAGGGAAGGGAAGAAAAAGAAAAGGAAAAGGGAAAAGGGAAAAGGGGAAAGGAAAAGGAAAGGGAGACTTGTTGCTCTGTTAGGGAGATGGATGGTTTCTAAATCTGATTCAGTGGTGGTATTCAGCCAGTTCTATCCGGTTCAGGCAAGAACCCACCTGCCCGGATGTCATCCCGTCATCCGTCCCGTTTTTGACTCTCTGCGCATGCGCAGAAGGCCCTGTGCGCGCACACTCACATTTGCGAACCGGTAGCGAAGGTAAATGATATACCACCCCTGATCTGATTACATATGCATGCATGTGGAAAAAAGAGAAAGGGAGACAGACAAAGAAGATGGTAGAAACAAAATAGTTCTTCCATTGTTAACTCTGGCTTCACTCCCTATTGACAAATTCCTCAAACAAATATAGCTCTCAGCATACATATTCATACTGTACCACCACCACTCTGACACACATAAAGTTTCTATTACACATAGGAGTTTTTTTCAAGCTTTACTTAAATGATCAATTTAGGGACTAATTGAAATTTAAGTCTATACCAGGAACTTTCTTACTTCCCTTGCTATGGAGAAAGAATCAGGGCTTCTGTTTTATGTTTGCAGTGAGCCCCATCCTCAGCAGAGAGATGAAACCCCATGCCTACAATTTCAAATTGTGGCAATAT